GGAGATTATGCCCAAATTAAAGTGGGCATGCAGATCCCTAAAAAAACTTTCTTAGGAACATATTTAGAACAGATAAATAAATACAGATAGTGTCAGGCACATATAAATAAATATAGATAGTGTCAACCACATACATGCTTAACACACTTTCTATTGAGTCAAGTCACTATGATTTATATCCTCCCAAATACTTTATCGGGTCAGAATGTAGAGGGGCTTTGTAGTTAGAAATTTAACCTTTTGGGAGAAGAAAAAAGATCAGTAAGAAATTAAAGGTGGACTATATCAGTACACTATTATAAATGATCGAGAAGAAAATAATTGAAGAAACAACCAATTCAGTTAATGAGGCAATTAATGTGGCCACAACATAAATTAAATTATTTGAATAATTATTGAAGTATTTGGGACAGGACATCAAAGCTAAGCTTTGAACCTACTTTTGGAGTTGCTTATAAGGGATGCTGTGTAGCCTGTGTATATGATATTATGATACAGCTTTTTACCATGCATGCCATGCCTTATATATAGTTATGTGTGATAATTACAACTAACGGATTCATCAATTATTCACATATAAAAAGTACACACAACAAGTATTAGAAAGTTAGGTGGCGTATAAATCAAATATTAAAAATAAGATATAGGTAGTGACTGCGAGTTTCTCTCGTAATTTAAAAAGTATATATGCATATTAGCATATAAGAAAATACATATATATATACATATACATATACACACATATTTTCCCCCTTTTCAATTTGATGCTTAAACGTGTCTTGAAATGCATTCAGAAATTTTCGTTTAGGAAATGAGTTGAAAGACATATTTTAATTATAAAAGGGCCCTAAAACGGTTCATAAAAGTTTTTGTTGGGTGCATGTGCAATGGGGAGACATATTTAAAACTATTAAATAAATTTCCTTTAAAGAGTTTGTATCCATCACAATTAGAACAATCATTATTGATGAAAATGGCACTTTTTCCCCCTAAGTTATATACTTATAGCATTTTTTTCCCCTCAATTATTTATGTAAGCACATTAGCCCCCTCAATTATTTTAAAAGTGGTGGGTTTTCCCCCTGATATATTAAATTGACATTTCTACCCTTAAAGTAAACATTTTATTTATTTTACTTCTCCAACAAATTATTGTGTATATGTAGCAGTGACCACGGTTCGGTTCGAACTGAACCAGACACTATAGCAATCGAATTAAAAGTTTCCGGTTATGATTCAGATCTAGAATCCAATATTTAGATTTCAATTTATTAAATTTATGAACAAAAAAAAAACTGGATCATGAACCGTGAACCGGCGGTTCCGGATCCGGTTCGTGATTTTGAACCGTCTTTATTTTAAATATTTTATTTTTTATTTTAAAATAGTCTAAATTCAACAATAAATGTATTTTATTTTTCAGTTCGGAACATGAACCGGCCATTTCGATTTGCGATTTTAATAAACTCTAAATATCGCGTTTTGATTCTAAATTGTAATTGGAATATTTTGGTTTGGTTGCTATAATATCTGTTTGGTTTGAACCAAATTATAGTAATAATTTGTTGGAGAAGAAAAATAAATGAAATATTTATTTTAAATATTTATTTTAAGGGTAAATATGTCCATTTAACATTTTAGGGGGGAAAAGAGCCACTTAAATAATTTAGGGGGGAAAAGTGCTATAAGTATATAACTCAGGGGGAAAAAGTGCCATTTTCCCATCATTATTGTGTGGACCAAATAATATACATTTAGTACACGAATAATGTAATTTTAGGTGGATGTATTCCATCATAACTTTTGTAAATTTTTAAAATGATAGATTTTAATAAACTTTGATTGATTTTTATAGAGTAGTTAAAAACTTTTTAAAACTTTGTGAAACTTTATAAAAGTCTATATAAAAAAGCATTTATAAACTTTTATCAACATTTTTATTTTAAAAAGTCTACAAAAAGTCATTGAAATTCTAAATTGAATACATCCTTACAAATTTTCAATGATTTTGATTCTTATCATTTATAATAATTTTCTTACAAAACATGTTATAATATATCATAAAATTCTTCTTATTATATAGTTCTTCACCCACATCAACATTCTCAACATTGTTATTTTTATCCATAGTATGGTGAGACTTATATGCTAATTACTTGTATATTATTAATAAGCATAAAAAAAAACTATTTCATAAAAAATTCATAACAATATTGAACTCTAAAATTTATAGTAACATAATTGTTCAAATAAAATATTTAAAAATATAATTACTAGTTGTATAAAATAAAAAAATAAAAAAATAATACTAATATATATATATATATATATATATATATATATATATATATAATTGTACTTGATATGTAGTATATTGCTAGGCATCAATAAAAGAGCTATTATTTGCGATAGCAATTTGGGATTGCGAACAACAACAAGGTGCTACTGTTTATTGTAATAACTTGTTGTTAAAAAGAAAAAAAAAGAAAAAATATTACGAATATAGACATAAAAAGAATAAAAATAAAAAGTATAAGTATTTATATGAATATTATGAAACATATAGTAAAATTTGACGGTGATAGATGAAAAATTTGCTTTGTTCATGTATACAGGGAGAATTAGAGAAAGTTTAGAAGTTAGAGAGAAAAATTGGTAGAGAAAGTTTAGAAGTTAGGGATAAAAAATTCTTAGAAGAAAAATAAAAATCAAAATAACAAGCAATAATGAAGTAAAAATAATATTATTTCAAATTTTTAGAGGAAGCTTGTAAAATTTAGTGGTGAGAAAAAAATTGGTAGAGTTTAGGTATGGAGAAAATATAGGATAATGAAGAAAAAATAATTTATTGATTTTTTTTTTTTGAATTTAGGTATAAGGTTTATAAAGTTTAAATAGAGGAAAAAATAGAGTTTAAATAGGGAGAAAACATTCAAAGGTGGTAGAATTTTTATTTTATTTTTTATTTTTTGAAATCTTGGGATTGATGGTTAAATTTCAACTATTTATATTTGAGAAGGAAAAGTTACAAAGTTCTAAAATTAAAAAGTCTACAAAAGTTCATAACTTTTTGAATACTGCATGACTTTTAAAGACTTTCTAAAAGTTTTAATCGAATATCACCGGACTTTTAAAGAGTCTTTAAAAATCTTAATTGAATACCGCTATACTTTTAAAGACTCTCTAAAAGTTTGAATTGAATACCTCCAAACTTTTAAAGTTGATAAAAGTATTTAAAAATCTAGGAAAGTCATAATTGAATACTACACCCCTTAGTATATTAAATATATATTTTTTGTTATGGTTCACACAATAAATTAACTAATTAAAAAGCAATATTGATCACACGTACAACATTACAATTTTGATAAGCCCTTAATGTAAATAAAATTTTTTAAAAAAATCCAATCCTACACAAACGATTACAATAATATTTAACTTAGTAATTTGCTGTCAATTTTTTTCTCGAGTAAGAGTTAAATTATGCAAACATATTTTAAGTTGAATTTGAATTAATCTCACAATGACAGAAATGCCAAATATTGTATGTCAGGAATTATTTATAAATTAAAAAAAAAAACAAAAAGATTGCAATAATATTTTTGTGAGAATTAGGGTTAGGCGACAATTTCATTTTCACTTCCGGTAAAATGAGTTGTTCCATGGGCAAGTTGATAACAACAGTAAATAACGAAAGGGACCTCTTCGTAAATCGTAACCATTATTTCAATTATGTTTTCCTGATTTCCTCACATGCACTTCCCTTTTTATCACACCATCTCTTAGCTTCTACTTAATCTTAATTATTACATAAGAGTTTGAGTGGCTTAAATATAACATAAAAAGTTCTATCTCGAACGAAGCTCAACAACCCCACAACAAAACATGAATATTATATTATTAGTGCAATATTAAAAAAATTATTATATACAACGTGCATTATTGTATCATAGCTAAAACTATACTAAATCCAATTATTATTGTGTGGAGTATATACTATCAAATAATGTACATTCAGTACATAAATAATATACTTTTAGTATATTAAAAGAAAAAATGACACTTTTGGTCCCTGAATTGTTTCACTTTTGAAAATTTGATCCCTGTAAATTAATTTAAACAAATTTAGTCCATTAATTGTCAATAATGTTGCACTTTTAGTCCCTAGTTATATAATTGTCAAACTCCATTAACATATGAGTTTAAATTTATCATTTAGAATCAATTTTTATGGTTAAAAATGGCATTCATATGGAGAAAATGAGACTTTAACTATGAATGTTGACTCTAGAAAATGACAAAAATAACATCATAAACAGGTGTTTGCTAATAGAGTTTGGTAATTATATAATACCAGGGACTAAAAGTGTAATATAATAGACAATTAAAGGACTAAATATGTTTAAATCAATTAACAAGGGTTAAATTTTCAAAAGTGAAACAATTCAGGGGCCAAAAGTGTTGTTTTTCTTATATTAAAAATATACATTATATTCAGAGAGAGTATATTATTTTGTATAATTTATATTCAGTACACGAATAATGTACTTTTAGTATATTAAAAATGTATTTTTTGTTATGGTCCACGTAATAATTTGCCATGATATCATAGTTTTTATTTTGGGTTTTCCAATGTTGGGCCTTCTGCGGGCATTTTACTGGGTTCTCGGTTTGGTTTTATGATTGGGCCTCACAATTATTACGGCCCAAAATGTTGATTCCTTATTAAAATATCAAGTAATAGCCCAGGCCCATCACCAGGGCAAATTATGTTGTGGAACCGTGTCTACCTTGCAAGGTGGGCACGGTTCCAAAAATATCATAATTGTGAATATAAAGTTTAAAAATTATGAACATAGAGTTTTATAATTATAAACATAGAGTTCTGTAATTGTGTATATAGAGTTCAATAATTGTGAATATGAAGTTCAAAAATTATGAACAAATTCTGTAATTGTGAATATAGAGTTTTATAATTGTGAATATAAAGTTCAAAAATTATGAACATAGAGTTCATGCAAGGTGGATACGGTTCCACGGCATAACAACTGCATCTGCAGATGTGCAGATGCAATTCTAAAACTGCAAAGCTAGAGAAAGGGACATGAACACCATGCCATTTCCCATAGCCAAAAGCAGCTATAATCTCTTGTCTACTTCATGGTTAAATGGCAATGGCATAGACTTGAAAGCTCGATACTTGCCAACATTATTCAGATGCTCATTCTCCAACCTGAACACTCAAGAACACACACCATTATCAAACCATCTCAACAATCTGATATCCATACTGTTTTATTGCCCTATGTGACTATACACTAACCTGAAAAAGTTCCAAATTCCGCGACGGATGATTTCCAGACAGGCAATAATGGCAACCATGGCTTTCTTATGGAGGAATGGCAGATTAAAATCCAGGACTAGTTGCATCCACACAAGCCTCAGTATCAGATTCATCACCTGCATGCAATTAGATCAATAAAGAACATTAATACTAAACTTAAAGCCTGTAAACAGGCTGCCATTTTCATGGTTTTTTTGTTATATGCTTACAATTGCAGCAAAGTAGACAGCCTTGTTTGGAACAAGGAGTTTGTCCCTCAACCAAGGGTTCTTGGAGTTTCTCTGCAACAGACCCCAATCTATAACGATGTCCCAGTACGTATTGGCGATCGTGGTGATTCCCGAGAAGACTGCAGCCAGGATTCTCATGGTTGCTCCTTTCTTTAGCTCATACAGTGTTCTTAGCACCAGTGCAGCCACTGTTGTGAAGTGCTTCAGGCCATTTACCCCTTGGCTATGATCTTTCTCCTCGAAGAATCGACGAAGGCACTGCACATTATTGTCATCCAAATTATGGGCTGCTAACATTCTTTTTAGTAGAACTGATCAGTCTGGTTAATTAATATACCTGGAGTAACCGAATCCAGAATGGGATTACTGCTACAACTATATTAAAGATTTGATAGATTTTGCTGTTCTGACAATTGTTTAATCGTTTTCTGAAATCTCCCCATCCATAGTAACAGATGTAGAATTCCAAGCTCCTGATGGCCTGAACCTGTAATAAAAAGATCAGATCAGAACAGTTAACGATCGATCTTTGTAGACATTTAGGTTGATGGAATCTAAGTCAAGAAAGAAACCTGGCTGGTAAGTTGATCTGCCAAGAAGAAATCAGGCAGGCTCTCCTGCAAAAACAGGAAATTTCAGATTGTCTGAAAATGTAACTTCAACATTCTTATATATGGTTTGTTCTAACATGTTATATATACTTTGAAAAGGGGAGCCCAGATGCAATGCCAGGCGCATGTGATGAGGAAGAAACGACTCGATCGATACACGATGTTGAGAGGGCAGAATGTTATTATAAGCAGAAGCTGAAATAACAAGAAAAAGTGAATTTTATGGTCAAAACACAACTATCAAACTCAGATTAGGCCACTTGATACCTATCTATCAAACTTACAGTAATCAGGATTGGTGGAACCGACTCGGTGAGCACCTTATAACTTCTTGTTGCAGGGTCCATTTCCATATCCAAGTGTGAGAGTACAGCAGCCAAAGCAAGCACAGAAAGGCCTGAAGCAAGGAGGAAAACTTCTCGATAACCGAGTTCTGTTCCTTGCTTGAAGCCAAATATAAAGGGGTAATTTATGCGGTATCGCCTCCAAAAGTATATGTCCCCAGCATACATTAGCATATGCAGGACAATAAATCCAAATAAACTACACAATTAGTAATTTGTTAGGTGTTCATACTGCATATTATACATCATCAGAATTCAGAAGGAAAGCAGGGAAAGAAAATAAGACAGACAAACCTGTAAAGTGGAAATATATTTTCCATAAACTGAGCACTCCCCTTGTGTCGAAGAAGATTTCTAGCACGTATCAAAACAATAATCGCTGCAATTAATGCTATCGAACAGCCCGAGAACAAGCCTGCAAGACAAAAACCGAAGGGCTCTTTAGCTAGCAAGTGTTTGCTTTATAATTTAACTCGGTTAGTTTCACAATCTCACCAAGAAAAAATGTGATTCTGTGCTTCTCTCGTTTCACGTGTGGCTTTAAAGAACTCATTCCTTTCCTTCTATTTCCATTGGCAAAGTGTTTTATGAACGCGGCTTCCGTTCTTTCCATGAGTCTACTAACCTGAGAATTCAATGATATGTCATTGCAGGTCAATCTAATCTTAACCCGAAAACGAAATCCATGTTGTGAAACCACATAAACCTCATCAGAGCTTCCAAGATAAGACTTATCAACCATCTCTAAGTATGATCTTGAAGCTTTCCTTGAAGTGATCTATACAAATATGAAAATGAAAGTTGAGCAGAGGTTGCAATTAATAATGGGTTATATAAATATATATACACACACATATATATACCTTGTCATACTTCTTCATGATCTTTGAAAATGCCAATGTGTTCAAGAAACTGTTGCAATGATTAACAAAATTTTTTAACTGGATTCAAAGCAAAAAAAAAAAAAGTCACTGGCATTTATAATCAAACCAGTTACCAGTAACTCTTTAGAAGCCTAAGCTGTTGATAGAACTCCATGAATGCCTTTCTCATTCTTTCTTCTGCTTTACTTAGCTCCACTCTGTTGAACTTCAAATCAGAATTTGATGTCTTCAAAATATTCTTCAATGTGGAGATGGGTGTTTCAGGCTCAACATTGACTTTTATGTGATCCAACACTTCCAGTGGAGCAGGCCTAAAGTTTGTGAAGTTATCAGTCTTCTCCTCTTCTTCCATCCTTCTCTTCTTTTGATCATTACTCATTCTTATACTCTCTTCACCACTCATCTCAGTTTCTTGTATTGCATCCATATATGACTTGGCTTCAATAATGCAAGAAGTGAAGGACAAACTCAGAACACTACAGAGCTTCTCGATCTTTACAATATAATCACAGAAATAAACCAAGTTTCAGGCTAGTCCTATTGGGTTTTCAGGCTAATCATTTTTTTGGGTTAGTTTAAAATTTTTTATCCTAACCCTAAAACTCCGGGCAAGCTCAATTGAAAATTTTGGCATTTTCAAATTAGCATTTTAAACTTTCAATTTTAATAAACTAGTGTATTTACACTAATAAATATAAACTTATGCATCATTTAATCTATCTAAACCTCAATTTCATATTTGAATTAAAAATAATTAATATACTCCCTCCGTCCCATTTTATTTGTTTGGTTCGATTAACGAGGCTTGATTGAAGTTATTTTTAATTCAATTTTTCATAATATTAAGTTTAGTATTAGTATATAAAATTTATATATTTAGAAATTACATTAAAAGTATTTTTTTTTGGTCAGGGCATGTACCATACTCAGGTTAAAGTTATGAGGCATCTTTAAGCCCGTACTCAATTACACCTTTAAGGCTCTGTTTGGCAAACCTAGCTGAAAAGCTATAAGCTAGGAGCTGATATCTGAAAAGGAGCTGAAAGCTATAAGCTCGGAGCTGAAAATTGAAGAGCTGTTAAGCTAGCTGTTATGATTGAAAGTGTTTGGTAAAATTAGCTTTTTGATAAGCTGATAAATGTAAAAAGACTAAAAAGGACATCTTCATAAAATTTAAATTAGTTTGTTTACATATTAAAATTTAACATTTCGTTTTCCAAAAAAAGTAAACACTTTTTAAAATAAAACTATTAGCATGATCATGATCTAGCATCCCATAATGAAGTAGCAATATTGTTGCGAATCTCCTTAATCTCCATAGAGGTGTGACTTAAATTTTCGTTGATGGAGATATTGCTAATTTTTTAATAATAATAATAATAAGTTAAAGTTTCAACATAATTGTTTAGCAGGAAACAAGACTAAGGAAGGGATTTACGTGAAAGTTGGGATAGGGGAAGAGAAAGGGTTTTAATTCATAAGGTTAAAATATGTCATTACTTTAAAATAATAAGGGTAAAGATGGAAAAAAAGTTAGGAAGCTAGGAGTTTATTTTGAAACGCTACCTAAAGTAGCGTTCCAAAATAAGCTCTTATTTTAAGCTAGGAGCTTATTTTGGGAACATTACCAAACAGAGCTTATAGCTTATTAGTAGCTTAAAATAAGCTATAAGCTCCTAGCTTAGCGTTGCCAAACAGAGCCTAAGCATGTACCATACTTAGACTAAAGTTAGGAGGCACCTTTAAGCCGCAAATTATGCTGTGCAACCGAATGCACCATGCGCATGGTGCATTCGATGCAAAACGACGTCGTTTTGGTTAAAAAAACGCGCGTCCCACTTAAAGAATAAATCAGGTTCGATTCCCGGCAATAGCATTTTTATATATCCATAAATTCATAACTATATATCCACAAATTCATAACTATATATCCACAGTGAATGAATGAAGTAAAAATCCACAATGAATGAACTAAATATCCACAGTGAATGAATGAAGTAAATATCTACAATGAATGAACTAAATATCCACAATGAATGAACTAAATATCCAGAAATTCATAACTATATATCCATAAATTCATAACTATATATCCACAGTGAATGAATGAAGTAAATATCTACAATGAATGAACTAAATATCCACAATGAATGAACTAAATATCCATAAATTCATAACTATATATCCAGAATAATGCTATTGCCTAGAATCGAACCTGAATTTTTTTTTTTTAAAGTGGGACGCGCGTTTTTAGTCAAAACGACGTCGTTTTGCATCGTATGCACCATGCACATGGTGCATTCGGTTGCAGAACATAACTATTGCCTTTAAGCACGTACCATACTCAGACTAATCCTTAGCCGGCCCGGCCCAATTAAGGGCAAAGTGCTGGCATATTGGTTTTTTCATATGGAAGGGGGTTCGAACACCCGACCTCTCTTAAGGGATGAGAATGCACAACCACTCACTCCATTCAAGCTGGTTACATTAAAAGTACTATTAAACACACAAAAAAATTAAATTTAAAAATAAAAATAAAATTACTAAAGAAAAATAGAAACTAAGCAAGAAAAGAGTTGATTTGACCAAAAAATAGTAAATATGACAGGTAAAATGGGACAGAAGGAGTATTACACTATAATATAATAATTATAATATATTAATATTTTATTTTGTTTCACATTGCTTACGAAACAAAAAATAACCTTAACAGGGTGTTTGGTTGGAACTTGGAAGGAAGGAATTAGAAGGGAAAAGAATTGTAACTTGGTGGAAAGAAAAATAAGGTGAGAATAAAGTAGGAATTCAAATTACATTATTTGACAGGAATGAATAGAATTATTGGGAATGAGAAGGGAAGAAGTGGTATAAAAACTAAAATATCCCTATGTAATAATAATAAGGGTAAAAAAAAATCTTTTTCTTCATTTTCACTTTCCTCATTGAATTGCAATTCGGTCATATGGGGGAGAGTATGAATTGCAATTCAACAAAATGGGGAAATTGTAATTCCCTCCAATCAAACATTATAATTAGTGTGGTCAAAGAATTATGTTTGTAATTGAATTGCAACTACATCCAACCAAACAACGCATTAAGTGGTTGGGGTTATTGAGTTAACCCACTAAATTTGGGCTAGCCAGTTGGGACCATCTATCTTATTGTTTTCAGACTTAACACGGACTTGATTTTTTATCCAACTAAATTTTTTTTGTCCTAATCTTAAAAATTTGTCAAGCTTTTCATACCAATCTATTAGTTTTGAGCTAAGATTGAGCTGACAAAAAAATAAACTAATCTAAATTATCTGCTCAAACTAAATAAATAAAGATTCGAACTGGTGACCTTGTGATTACAACTGTGGATCTCACCTTGTTTTCTGGCATGGGTAGCAGCTGCAGAATCTTTTCTGTGGGCTGCAGCATGAAGCTCAATTTCAGGTTTTTCTACCATGATCCGAAACGCTATAAGTGCATCCATCTGCTCACTAAGCTCATCTCCCTCCTTCCTCACTTCCTCCACCTTTTCTCTGTAAAACCTAACAACTTTATTCAATTCATCGTCAAGCTTTCTGAAGAACGCCAGCTCGTGTTCTCCGCCGGCTTCCGACGACGACGACACGAGGAACGTCGTTTGGTACCGCGGCGGCGCTCCAATAATCCCTTCCTGCTCCACAGTGCTCACCAGTATTGTAACTCCTTCTTCATCTTCTTCCTTATTGCTCCTGGGAGTGTTGAATCGATTCGTCAGCCCGCTGAAGGCTCTGTACATCGACAGCCTTCTCTTCAAGGAATTCTTCCGCGTTGCCGCCGCAGATGATTGCGCCGCGGCGGCGTTCGTTTGCCGGAATTTCAAGATGTCTTTCAGGAGTCCTTTCAGAGAAGTGTAATCCATGTATGCTTCCCCCCATTCTTGAACCATCTGGGAAGCTAATTCCTTCCCGAACTTCATCTTCTTGCACAGAAATCGCTCTTTTTATTTCCCAGAGAAAATATTATGTTTGTATTATATTAGTAGTGTTTCAGAAATTGCAGAAGAAACTACACTCCACTCTATCCATCGGCATTGTAAATATAATGCATGTTTATATATACACACACACGTTCTTGCGTGAAAAGTGTTCCAATATATGTATACTACAAGGGGAGGAGTGATATTTTGTTTTCCATGAAATTTGAGAATAAAGAATCACATGATATGATTATCGTTACAATGTAGTATCTGTCCATTGGGGCGAACCTGTGAATCTGTGACCTACATTTAGGAGAGTTACAGTTATGCGGTTTAACCACATCTTTGACTTATAGAACATTCTTAATTACCTTAGATCAAAATATGTATAATAATTTTATTATATTATTATAATAAAATATATAATTATAATATTTTAATTTATGATATTGTATTTTATAAATAATAATATTTTAATTTAAAATCACTATTTCCCTTACTTTTATAATCATTATAATTATATCATCGTACTCATTATTGCTTACCATTACAATCTCAATCAAACAATGGAATCAATATTACAAGTAATTTATTTTTCACCAACCAAACAACAGAATCAATTTTCTTGGTAATTTCTTTTTCATTAAATTTCATTTTCATTTTTGCTCAAATATTTTTGCAAACCAAACATGCCCTGTCCTGGATCCATGACTCCCCATGAACCCACCTCGTAGCTAGACCCGTGAGAAGATAAATATAATCAATCTAATTTTGAGACTTAACATTAAAGTGTGTACTTCTTTCAGTTCCTTGTACAAGAAGTCTAACCTAAATCCAAATGCTATTTATTTTATTTTATTTTATTTATTTATTTTGTTGTGATTGTTAATACTTATAACTATTTATTTCAATTATGACAAACATTTATCGTGTAGCCCTAATGAGTTTAAACAAGTCAAATCTGGAATGTAATGAGTTTACACCGTCAAGGGGTGTAAGGTTGTATGAAGGGTCATGGTCTTTGGCTACTGCGATTTGGACACACCATAGTAGGGTATAAGAAGACTTAGCTAAGTCTTCTTCCATGGCTAATAATTTAGCACGCGTACCATCACATATTTTTGCAAACAAATATAGACGTGAGCTTCACGTTGGTATGATTCTCAGGGCCGAACCCCAACCCGACAGAGCATTTGAGAGGATGTAAATCATGAATCACAGAGGCTAGACCGGTGCTCACTGCGCACAAGGAACCCCCCTCACTTTGAGAGGCAAGACAAAAAGTTAAAAGAGGAAAAAGTTTAAGAGCTAAAGTGCAGTAAGGCATAAAATTTGTGATCGTAAGTTGGAAATATTTGGAAAGAGGAGTGGGCAGATCAAGTTTGGGAATTGTTAGACAAAATGAAAAAGGTGTGCTTGGCGCCTTGAATAAGCAATTGTCCATTTGGATTTTGGACTAGAGATTTGGGCCAGTAGGTTTAGACTTTTATTCCTTATATTTATTCAATCATTTATCGCAAATTATGCTGTAGAATCGTGTCCACTTTATAAAATGGACACAGTTTTAAAACTGTCATAATTGTGAATATAAAGTTCAAAAATTATGAATATATAGTTCAAAAATTATGAACATAGAGTTCAGAAATTGTGAAAATAGAATTTAATAATTGTGGATATGAAATTTAAAAATTATGAACATAGAGTTTTATAATTATGAACATAAAGTTCAGTAATTATGGACAAGGTTCCATGGCATAACAATTGATTATTTATACCCCAATTATTGCATTCAAAAAGCCCAAGGCTTTGTGAATGACAAATTATTATATGGACTATGGTTCACATAATGATGTGAACTATAATAAAAAGTAAATTTTTAATATACTAAAAGTACATTATTTGTATAATGAATGTACATTATATAAAATAGGAATAAGGTTCAAATTGGCCACTGAACGTAACCTGAAAATGCAATTAGGCCACTGAACGAAAAAAAAGTGCAATTAGGCCATTGAACACTCAAAAAATGTGCAATTAGGCCACTGAACTCTCCAAACGTATGCAATTTTACCGGATAGCAGGTTACCATCAATTTTAACAGGTTACCTGCTTACGTGACAGCTTAGTTGGCATTTTTAATAATTTTTAAATAATTTTTAATAATTAATTTTAATAATAAATTTTATAAAAAATTGGAAAAAATTAAATAAAAAATAAAATAAAGTCGTTTTTATTTTTTAAAAAAATTTTTTAATAAAAATTTATTATTAAAATTTATTAAAAATTAATTAAAATTTATTAAAAATGCCAACTCAGCTGCCACGTAAGCAGATAACCTGCTAAAATTGAGGGTAACCTGCTATCAGGTGAAATTGCACATTTTTCGAGTGTTCGGTGGCCTAATTGCACTTTTTTTTCGTTCAGTGGCCTAATTGCACTTTTAGGTTACGTTCAGTGGCCAATTTGAACCTTATTCCTATAAAATAATGTACTTTTAGTACTCAAATAATGTATTTTTCTTAAATAAAATGTACATTTTTAATATACTAAAAGCACATTATTTGTGTACTTGATGATTTTGTTGGAACTGGCTCCACTATAAATCGGGATATATAGGTACAAAACGGGGGTAAGGAAATAATAGTAACTTTATAACCCGGAACGCTAGGTACAAAATAGTACGTACAAAAGACTGAGACACAAGCCCAAAAAGGAGGCCCAAACACAAAGAGTAGAGCCCAGAGAATGGGCTGTAAATAACTAAGCAATCAACGGGAATCGAACCCAGGCAAAAGGGTTGAGGGTATAAGTCAAGGACTTGACTAGATGAATGTGCTTGTAGTGTTCAGACATGATTCTGATACAAAGCCAGACACCCTATTTATAGTAAAATCACCCACATCTTGCATCGTCCACGTGTGCGTCACACGATCCGCTCATCCTATGGCTTCCATGTGTCCCAGGTCTCTAACTCATCCAAACTCACCACAACACCAACACCACTCCCTGCACCTCGAGACCACCCCCACACCACCTTCGGAGAGGGGGGCGCAAGCCAGCGACCCACTCCATCCGGTTGCCACACGCCGGGTGCATCCCTCCAGGTTGGTCCACCTCTCGCCTCTTGACCTCGTACCCCTCTTGGCCTCTACCCTCAAACCCAGCCCAATAATGCAAGTCCAACAAACCTTTAGCTCATAACCAATATCCCATCACTATAACCAACATGGTTGGCGTGGTGGTTCAGCACCTTGTCTCTTAAGCATGAGTTTGGGGGTTTAATCCCCACCCATATCCATGCACATGGAGTGTTTGGTAAAATTAATTTTTTGATAAGCTGATAAATATAAAAAGACTAAAAAGAACATCTTCAACAAATTTAAATAGATTTGGTTACATATTAAAATTTAACATTTTAAAATGAAACTATTAGCATCTCATAATCCGCGCTACATGCTCCTGTCCACTTCATGGTTAAATGGCAATGGCACAGACTTGAACGCTCGATATTTTCCAACGTTATTCAGATGCTCATTCTCCAACCTGAAAAAGCCAAAAACGCACACCATCACCAACCACTATCTTAGGGTATATATGGGTAAACTCGGCCCTTGTAATTCTAACTGATTAAGGATCACAAGGTGGTGAATTATATTATAGAAAGACTAATAGGTCGTTCTTATTGAGAGTTGAACTTGTAACACTATGATAACATACCAAATCAACAACTTAACCAACTTGAGACATATCCATACCGTTTTGTTGGCCTATGTGACTATATACTAACCTGAAAAAGTTCCAAATGCCGCGGCGGATAATTTCCAGACAGGCAATAATGGCAACCACGGCTTTCTTATGGAGGAACGAAATCTTAAAATCCAGAACCAGTTGCATCCATGTCAGCCTCAAAATGATGTTCACCACCTGCATTTGGACCAATAAATTAAAGAACATGAAGATTTCAAGAAAACAGACTACTGCCATTTTCAAAATGGTAAGTTTTTTTTTCTCTTTTTACTTACAATTGCAGCAAAGTAGACAGCCTTGTTTGGAACAAGGAGCTTGTCCCTCAACCAAGGGTTCTTGGAGTTCCTCTGCAACAGACCCCAATCTATAACAATGTCCCAGTACGTATTGGTGATGGTCGTGATCCCTGAAAAGGCTATTGCCAGAACATGCAGGGTTGTTCCTTTATTTTGTTCATACAGTGTTCTTAGCACCAGAGCAGCCACTGTTGTGAAGTACTTGAGACCATTCAGCCCTTGGTTATTGTCTTTCTCCTCGAACAACCGACGAAGGCACTGCATATATATCAACACCCATTGCATGCCAATTTATGAGTTCTTCAATCTTTTTAATTAGCTGTTAATCAGGCTGGTTATTAGCTAGCATACCTGAAGTAACCGAACAACGAATGGGATTGCTGCTACAATTATATAAAAGAGTTTATACACATCACTGTCCTGACATGTGTTTGATCTTTGTCTGAAGTTTCCCCATCCGTAGTAACAGATATAGAATTCAAAGCTCCTGATGGCCTGAACCTGGCTGGTAAGTTGATCTGCCAAGAAAAAATCAGGCAGGGTCACCTGGAAAAACAGGAAATTTCAGATTGTCTCAACATTAACTTTAAGATTCTTATGGTCTGTTCTAACATGTGCAGATTGGCAAGCATACTTTAAAAAGAGGAGCACAGATGCAGTGCCAGGCGCATGTGATGAGGAAGAAACGACTTGATCGATACATGATGTTGAGAGGGCAGAATGTTATTATTAGCAGAAGCTGGAAATGACAAAATAAGAGAATTTTATGGTCAAAATAGAAGTTCCTTTGCACAATTATAAAATGCAATTAGGCTGCTAGACTTACAGAAATCAGGATCAGTGGAACCGACTCAGAGAGCACCTTATAACTTCTTGTTTCAGGGTCCATTTCCATATTCAAGTGCGAGAGAACAGCAGCCAAAGCAAGCACAGAAAGGCCTGAAGCAATGAGGAGAACTTGTCGATAACCAAGTTCTGTTCCTTGCTTGAACCCAAATATAAAGGAGTAATTTATGCGGTATCGCCTCCAAAAGTATATGTCCCCGGCATACATTAGCATATGTAGGACAATGAATCCGAATAAACTACATAAATTAATTGCAGATTATTAGTAAGTAATTTAAGTTTACACACTGCATATTGCACAT